ATCATGTCTTTGAGGACTCAAAGAGATGAGCTTAGAGAAATGATCACGAAGCTCACCTCATCGCAGAATGTCGAACTCAAGATTGCCAACGATAAAATCAAAACGCTTGAGTTCAAGCTCGAAAAACTTAGTCTCATCAACGACAAGTTGAGTCGCCGCGAAAGAAGCGATCTGAGTTCGAAGGAAACTAATGGTCACAAGTTCTCTAGTGGCCAGGGAGGGAAATTACAGGGATTGTCAATCGTTACACCGAAACGTAATCTCTTTGACGAATAGACGTACTGGAATGTACCGGAATGAATATTGATGTCTTTATTGGAAAATAGAGGCAAACGACGGATAAATCACATGTAGGTTTCTATAAAGTAGGTAAGGAACGTAATCAGCTGTGAGTTTCCAAGAATTTGAGGATCACATTGGCGACAACAGTACCGTGATTGATCAAATTATTGGTCTTATAGCTCAGGCGGTCGAAGGTCGCCTTGTCAATCTTCCCAATTTCGTGGGTAAGCTGCAAGAGTTTCAAGGTTTCAGGAGTGGAGAACTCAGGGTGGCCTTGAAACGTGAGAATCTTGACCGGACCTGACTCCGTGACAAGACCCTGAATGGAGCACTTGTTTGTGCTGCCAATCGACTGGAAGTTGGTCTGGGACAACAACGAGTTTGATGTGGAAGTAGGAGGTAAGCCGTAAACAACATCTCTGTGGAACTCAACCAAATTGATATGATCGAGCACGTTACCATCTTCCGTCTCCAAAGTGTCAGCAAAGGGCGACTTTTCCACAGAAAGAATGCTTTTGTTCAAGGCGATGGTGGTGATGCCACACTCCCAGCCGTTCTCAGTCGTGTTTCTGTTGACCTTGCAGCCCAAGTTTTTAGCCAAAATCTGGTGGCCGAAGCAAAGGCCGACCATGGGGAACCCTGGGCGGTTGGTAATTATCGACTTAAGGAACTTATCCGTCAGTTGGATCCAAGGGTTCTCGTTATTGAAGGAGTCTGAGCGTGACCCAGATAACACCAAGCCCTTGATCAAGCCCTGGTCGATACCGTCCAGTAGGTCGGAGAAGTTCAGATCAGTCACGGTTTGTTGCAGTGGGTCGGCGAGGTCATAGGCAATCTGGTACTTCTTGAGCGGAACTTTAGATGCCTTGAGGAGCTCTACCGCGTTATCGCCAAAGTCACCAAACTCGTCCGTGATGGACTCGATTGGAGTATCCAACACAAGCACAGCAATGTGCGGTTCCATTAATTAAGGTGTGTGCTTGGATTAGGGACGAGGATCGGTTACCACTTGGGATAGTGCGTTTGGGATGTGATACGGGAGTGCAAATGTTTTGTTTTTGTCCTGCAGGGCCACGATTCATACTTCGTCAACACCGTAGGGATGCTAGAAAATAATGGTGAAGTGAAACTTGGCAAAAGATACAGACGGATTATAGTGATTCAAAAAATTGATTTTATCAAATTCACGAAATTCTGAAATAACTTTTTTGTGATGTTTTTCGTTTTGTTGGGTGCGATGATACAATTTCCGTGAGGATGGCTGCGAAAGCGATGCAGACAATGGCATAAATGGAAAACAGGGGGAGGGGGTTCCGTGGGGCCAATGGTGAATTCTTAGCTTCTGAAATGTATGCGTTGGTCTTGTGATCACAAGGATTTCTTAAGAGGTTTTGTATATTCTCCGCATAATGTTCTTTTTTATCTGCGGTATTTGAAACACATTCTAAATTGATCCCTGTTAGTGTAGAGTGGCTGCGAAATGCGGTTGCACGGACTTACGTCATAACTACGAATAAGCGAGTAATTAGAATCTGTGCTTATTTCAGATATGAAAAGACTACAATTCATAGCTTGGCAATGTCTAGAGATCGATTGGTCGACATCCGTGGATTTATTAAGCCGCCACAGCCACACCGTTCGGCCGTGAGTCGGAAGAATTGCTTGCTGGGGTAGTTGCCATCATCAAATGGATAACGCAAAGGCTGTAAAAATGCTCTCGTAGTTTCTCGTAGTGAAGCTGGTACGAAGTGTATCGCTTATACAGAAAACCAGCCTCGTGAGTACCGTGTGGGTCTCAATCAGAAGCCCTGACTCTCTGCTGCCGAGGCCCCACACTACAACAAAGGTAACTCTGCAGATTCCGAGACCTCAAAAGCCTAAACCTCGTTCTATTCGGAAGAAGTATACCAGTTTCAATTTCGGAAATTCAACACTGGAAATAGGTTCCCCTATCCCACATACCCCAAGCATTCATCGTCAGTCCGGTCCAGCGCGGTTTTCCTTCTCACCTCTGGTGCACCAGCCAAACGTTGAACAACCCAAGCCAATACAAACAGTTAATCTATACAACCCTTAGAGCGTCGGGTACTCGAGTTATCTACAGATCCCAGTGAGCTCTTCCTTTGACTTGTAAAATCACAACAACCGGCATGGACGGTAACCAGGAAGAAATGCAGCATAATCAAGGCGCCGGTAACGGCGGCACCATTTCACACTTGAGCGCCGGCTTGAAGCTGGTATCGCTCTCAGACCAGCAGCAGAATGCTGTCAACCTCAATTTATTACAGCAGCAGCTCCATAACGAGGCTGCAAACAACCAGGCGACCCAGTCGAGAATCAGCCAGTTCTTCGCCAACCAGCCCTCCGAAGGCTACACATTATTCTCCCACAGATCAGCGCCAAACGGTTTCAAGGTGGCAATAATATTACTGGAGCTTAATTCGCCCTTCAACACGATCTTCTTGGACTTCAACCTGGGAGAGCAAAGAGCCCCCGAGTTCGTCTCTATAAATCCCAACGCCCGTGTGCCTGCTCTCATCGACCACAACAACGAAAATACATCCATCTGGGAGCTGGGCGCCATCATTCTTTACTTGGTATCCAAATATTTGAAGGACAATGGTGAGTGTCCGCTCTGGTCGGACAATCTCATTGAACAGTCACAGATTGCCCTGTGGTTGTTTTTCCAGACGTCGGGCCACGCTCCCATGATCGGCCAGGCGTTGCACTTCAGATACTTCCACTCTTGTCCGGTGCCCTCTGCCGTGGAACGGTACACCGACGAGGTGAGGAGAGTTTACGGAGTCATTGAGATGGCCTTGGCAGAAAGAAGAGAGGCGCTTATCATGGACTTGGACAGAGAAAACGCTGCCGCATACTCTGCGGGAACTACGCCTTTGAGTCTGTCGAGATACTTCGACTACCCCGTCTGGCTTGTGGGCGACCGTGCTACAGTGGCAGACTTGTCCTTTGTGCCATGGAACAATGTTGTCGACCGGATTGGCATCAACCTTAAGGTAGAGTTCCCCGAGGTGTACAAGTGGACAAAGTACATGATGAGGCGACCAGCCGTTATTCGTGCGTTGCGTGGAGACTAGAGAATTTGGGCTTGCTCGTATGAGTCTCGAGGCAAGCGCTGCACACGGTGACCCGATACGAAGCTACGGTAATAATCTATATCTTAAGTATGACATTTGGTGCATGTAGGCTGATGCCGAGGGCACGCCGAGGCCGGCGGAATCAGTTAAATTTCCGTTCTCAATGACTGTAGTGTGGAGTGATTAGGATAAGGTGATACTGCGGCTCGGTATTGAGTGAGGCGAACTGTGGGGGAACGTATCCACCAATACGAATATACTTCTAAGTTAAGCATTAAAGTTGAGCTTTCGGCTACTCATGTGGTGCCATTCAGTTCAATTATGCGTCTGAAATTCCCTTGGAATCGTTTGTTGAATGTGGTGTAGCAGGCTCTTGCATGATGGCTGCAAACACACTGATGCAATGCTGACCGGTAGGATCTGGCGATATGAAATGAGGGGCCCATGGGGCAATTGCTAATAGTGTCATGGCAGCAAGAATGCCATTATATATTCAGAGGTCCAGTCAGCGTAGGGGCCAAATATGAACATTTGCAAACAGTCAGCCAAAAGAATTCTAGCACGAACCATGGCGACAATACCAAAGACGCAGTACGGATTTAAATTTGACAAGTCTCTCAGCAACATTCGCTTGGTCGAGAACTTGCCCGTTCAGCAGCCATCCAGTAACCAGGTGTTACTTAAAATCGAGGCTGCTGGACTCTGCCACACTGATTTACACCTTTTGGACGGATTTGACGCTGGCGACAATTACGTCATGGGCCACGAGATCTTTGGTCTGGTGGCTTCTAAAGGCGAAGATGTCAAACACTTGGAATTAGGCGATCGTGTTGCCGCCTTTGGACCCAATTCGTGTGGAGTCTGCTCAATGTGTCGCCAGGGTTACGACAACGACTGTCTCAAAACCGAGTGGCTCGGACTTGGTAACGATGGTGGATACCAGCAGTATTTGTTGGTCAGAAACCCTCGAAATTTGATCAAGGTACCTCAGGAAGTGTCTGATCCCGCTGTTGCTGCTGTCATCACCGATGCCATGTTGACTCCCTACCACGCAATTAAAATGGCTAATTTGACCCCAGCCAAAAAAGCACTTTTCATTGGCGCTGGTGGTTTGGGCTCTACTGGTGTGCAAATCGCCAAATTGTTTGGTGCCCATGTCACTGTGCTTGACACCAAGAAGAGTGCTCTTGAATTGGCCAAACAATTTGGTGCTGACGAGGTGTTCACTGAACTTCCAGCAACTACAGAGCAGGGTACTTACGATGTGTGTCTTGATTTTGTGGCAATCCAAAAGACGTTTGACATCTGTCAAAAGTATATAAAATCACACGGCACCATCATTCCTGTGGGTTTGGGTGCCACCCATTTGTCGTTTGACTTGGGAGATTTGGCTTTGCGGGAAATTCGTGTGTTGGGATCCTTCTGGGGTACTAGCAACGACATTACTGAATGCTACGATTTGGTAAAACAGGGTAAGATCCACCCCAAGGTCACCTCCTTCCCATTGAAGGAGCTCCCAGAGTGCATTGAAAAGCTTAAGAAGGGTGATGTTAGTGGAAGAATGGTGCTTATTCCATGATATGTACGCTTTATATAGGGTATTAACAAGCTTTATGCAATCTATTTCTTTTTTCCTCCTTTCTTCGATGCACCTTTGCCGCTGCCCTTGCCTCCTTTTCCACCCTTCTCATTACCGGAGCTACCAGGCAACATGAGTTTCACCTTTCCAACAGTGAACACACCCAGAATGTCATTAGCCTTGGCGCCTCTGATCAACTCATGCTCCACGGGCCAATCAACCTCAGGGTCTTCTTTTGTAGAGTCCACCTTCCTGCTTGAAAAATACAGAATGGCATCTGTTACAGACTTACCCTTCTTACCAAAGCCAGGTTGGATCTTAACCTTATACTTGAACTTCGCAAGAGCAGACCATGGTGCAAACACAGGCACATATGCTCCAATCTCATCACTCTTGGCTGGTCTAGGCAATATAGAGTCAAGCTGCTCGAGGTAGTTTCCATCGACACCCTCTTCGTCGTCCGAGAGGTACTTCTTAAGCTGTCTGGCTTCTTTGGCCCTGGAGCGCTCAGCACTCTTATCAGCATATTTGTTCTTCTCATTTTCCTCTCTGCGTTTGGCTTCCTCTTCTTGCTGCTTCTCCCGTTGTTGAATCTGTTTGAGTGTTCCAAGTGCTTCCATTCTCATTAACTTCTCCTCTTCGTCTTGATCCGCATACTTCGCAGAAATCTTCTTCATCTTTCCCTTCTTACCACGCACATTCGCTTTTTGAAGATTGATTCTAGTAGATTCCACGTCGTTGTCATCAACACTAGATTGAGTGACAGACTGTTCGCTTGGAGAGGGAGAACCTCTGCCCTCAGTATTCTCTTCTTCCTGTGGCTCCTCAACAGTTTTAGCCTCTTTCTCCTTCTCGGCGAAAATTGCATCAAGATTCAAGTTTTCGAGATCCTTCTTTTTGTTGCTGACTTCAGCCTGCAAGCCATGCTCTTCTTGCTTCAGTACTCTGGCAGTGGTGTACCTTTTACTGGTCTCTTCATCAACAAGCCAATAAAGACCGAAACCCATAACCAATTGGGCTGGTGGCATGTAGTCTTTCTTGGCCTTTATGTTTAGGCGACCGGGGCCGAGCAATGTACCATCAACATCTTTCTTAGAAATCCCCTCTCCTGGAACCCACCAAGCCGATGAGCTGGATTTACCATTCCAAGCAGCAGAAGTGGACAATGCAAAGATACCGGCTTGGAATAATGCAGATGGCGAGATCGGTTTGCCCTTGTAAGGGTTCTTGATGAAGACCTTGAGGGACCCTTCGACATCAGAGGACACATATATGTCGTTGTCGCTAAAATGTCTATAGTAGATCATATCGGTCTGCAAATCGTCTCTGCCAGCCAAACACAAGTAACCATCACTGGTGACAAACCAAAAGAACTTTTCGAACCAGAACTTTGGGCGAATGGCTTTGAGTTCATCGGTCTCTTTCTTGAGATTCTTGGCCAAATCCTTTTGGATCTTCTTCTCTGCATTCTTCAATGCAATCTGGGTGTTTTGTTCGACCTTCGTTTGCTTCGAGTCGGCCGTCTTCTTGGAGTCGAAATAGATACGGGCATTGGCGAAAGCTGACAAACTGAGATCAATGTCAACATTGATCGTGGGAATTGTTGGCTTGGTCTTTGCCTTTGGCACTTTCTTCTTCCTCGAGGGTTGTGACTCCTCAAATTCAGAGTCGGAGTCTGAATCGGATTCGGAGTCGGATTCGGACTCAGAATCAGAATCCAGATCGCTCGAGTCAGCTTCACTTTCTGAACTTTCATCAGAATCGGAGTCCGAGGTCTCATTATCTTCTGACTCATTCTCAGGAATATTGTCAGGATCAGGCAACGCCAACTTAATCTTACCGTCCTTGAGATTGAGAGGAAGCTTGATCGTATTAGCAGCCTTGTTTCCTCTTGATTGCTCCATCTTGGTGAGTTTCTCAATAATCTCCCAATCTGTCTGCTTGTTAAGCAAGTCCTGGATTGACAGCTTGCATTCTTCTACCAAGTCGGCGTGATAGATGATAGTATTTCCCTTCTTCTCATTGCTCTCAGACTGTAATTGTAACAGCTCAATCTGTCTGTTTCTTTCATTCTTTGCAGTATCAAGTCTCTTCTGGGCATGTTGCTTCTGCTGCTCGATTCTCAATGCATATTTCGTGGACTCAAGAGTGGTGAAGAACTTGTCAAGAGTCTTATTATATCCCTCAACTTCCAGGAACTTGAACTGACTTTCGTTGGCCTTGAAGGGTAAAAATGGATGGAACTCCTCAAAAACAAATTCCAAAGAATCGGGGTTGCTTGGGTCATGCAAATGGTTCTGCTTCTCCACAATGACACCACGAATCTTCTCATTTTCAATATTACCAAGGAGATCAGCATAACGATCTTCAGTCAGATTGAGGGCCTTCACCACCAAATCCAATTGGTCTTCATCCTGAACTACATCGAGACAGCTCTTGGTAGCAGGAACTTCGACCTCAGCAAGACTCTTCAAAATAAGATCACTTGAAAGGTGACTGGCATTGACGAATGCGAGCTTGTGAATTGAAAATACCTTCTTTTTCTTCTCGGAGGTGTTTTTCAAGAGCTTCTCCTTGTGAGTAGCAGCCCAATCCTTGACAATGTCACTAGTAAACGTCGTCTTTTCATATGCAGCTGGCTCGTCGTCAAAAAGACTTCTGTCGAACATATTGTAGCTTTCATTAACAGCGTACTTATCGTTACCAGCTTCAGTGTTAGTCACGAGTCTCTGAAGGGACAAGATCTTCATATCGTGGTCCAACAACAACATGTTACCAGCACTGAAGAATTCAAGCACAAGATAGAATTGACCGTCAGAGAACTCAAAGACAAGCACTCTGTCATTCCTGAGCTGCTTCAAGTTCGAAAGCCTCCTACTCTTCAAATGCTTTCTCAACTTAGTGACGAAATTCGATGGTGCTGGAGCAATTGGTCTCTCAAAATCGGACAAATGAAGCTTATTTCCACAATCAAGAACAAGACTCCTCTTCGAATCAGGCAAACCAAACTTCAAGATGTACTGTCTAGACGAGTTGGCTACATTGTAGATATTTTGCAACCTGTAGTTCAAGAGTGTTTCTCGCAATTCACCTGTAAGGATCTGAAGATCCAAAGATGTGATTCTTTGCTAGATGTTAGTTAAAATTCATGGTTCAAATTAATTGTACATACCTTCATTGCTGGAAGACAAGTCTAGTACGAAAATTGAAGCACAGCAAGACTTTCGAAGGCCACACATTGTATGCATGAAAACACCGCTACTGGTGATCTATCTCCAGATCTTGCCATATGTTTTTTAATGATGTAATTGAATTTCAGGTTTATGTTCAATTCAAGTTTCAATGCATTGAATAATGCCACTTAACCTCCCACTCTCGTTGTCCTTATCTATGCTTTCGGACTTTGCTGATTCCTGTGCAGACACATAAGACCTTGGCCTTATCGGAGAAAGAAGAAACACCACCATTCATGTTTTTCTCGTCCCCGACACCCGAGAAGAAGCTAGCCCCGCTTATTGAGGCTATACAGCAGAAGAAAAAGAAAGTCACCTTCTTTTTGGGCGCTGGAATCTCGACATCATGTGGTATTCCCGACTTTAGAAGCCCCAAGACTGGCTTATACTCGAATCTACAGAAGCTAGACCTTCCTTACCCCGAGGCAGTTTTCGATATTGACTACTTTAGAGAAAGTCCAAAGGCGTTCTATACGTTGTGCGATGAGCTTTACCCAGGTAAATTCGTCCCTTCCAAGTTCCACTATCTTGTAAGGCTCTTCCAAGATAAGCAGCTTTTGAAGAGAGTTTACACTCAAAACATTGATACGTTGGAGAGAATCGCTGGAATCGAAGATAAGTTTATGGTTGAAGCTCATGGTTCGTTTGCAAACAATCATTGCATCGACTGTAAAGAGGAGATGTCAAGTGAGACATTGAAGAAGCTCATTTTCGATAAATCCAAGAATGAGGGTATTCCACTTTGCCCAAAGTGTAAGGGTTACATCAAGCCGGACATCACTTTCTTCGGTGAAGGCCTCCCTGAACGATTCTTCTATTCATGGCGTGACGACGCTGATGAGGTGGAGGTAGCTATAGTGGCCGGCACCTCATTAACCGTGATGCCATTCGCCAATTTGCCGAGCGAGTGTGGCAAGAAGACATTGCGTGCCTTAATTAACAAAGAAGTCGTCGGGGACTTCAAGTACGCCAAGCGCAAGACTGATATAGTCTTACAGGACGATTGCGACTCAGCAGCCGAACTCATTGCTGACCTTTTAGGTTGGAGAGATGAGCTTGATGAACTTTATGAGAAAGCTAAGTCAGAAATTTCTGAGAAGACACCCGAAACAGCTGAAGAAAAGGCTCATGAAGTTGCCGAGGAGATTGCGAAGGAAGAAGCTACAAAGCCCGATGTGACCAAATCGGATAAAGACGCTGATACGGAGGCAGTCGAGAAAAAATTGGGCAAATTGTCACTTTAAACGAAGCGTTCACTTTTTCCTATACAAGCGGAAGAAGAACCGCATGTTTTCTAACTTGATGGGATATTCCACCTCATTCGTGTTGATTCTGTACCAGCAGCTTTCATTTTGCTCAACAATTTCCCAGGCACCATCATCCTGCCCAGGCTTGCCGGCTAGTATGGTGTCCACAAGAAATTGAACAGGAAATTTTTTGGATCCCACGGTGATGTGTGAGTAAGAGCCCGCACTCTCGGCTATGAGAAGTAAAGCACCTTTATGACAATCGGAGCTTAAAGAATGCAAAAATTTGATGGTTTCGGTTTTCTTTTCACAAAAGAGCTCGTTGGTGGTGAAAAGAAGTGTGACAAAGTCCAACTCAGGAAGCCGAAGAGATGCAGCGTCTTGTGAGAGAACGTCACCATGGACAAAATTGCTGCTAAGCTTCTCGTGGTCGTAGAACCATTGGGATTGCATGTGTGTGGTCAAGTTCTTGACAACTCTTGACCAGTCGGCAATATCAATGACGTCTAGATGCAAGTTGGAAGGCGTATCGGCATTGGGCCGCTTTAAACAGGCAAACACTGACCCCAAGGCAACCAATTCCGATGCGGCACCTCCTCCAATACATAATGCTTTGGTCTCCTTGTTTGGGTCAGCAAGGAGATTTCGAAGGGGCTCGAGAGATGAGAAGAGGGATGCGTAAGCCAAAGCCCTAGCTGGAGACCATCTCGCTACATAGGCAAACCTCTTATCATCACAGTCGAATGCAGCAAGGTAATCACGATTGTAAAGGTCACTTTTGACTCGTTGAATATTGTCTTGGAGATCATCTGCAGCTAGGACATATTTGAAGTTCTCTAAAAAGAGATCTAGAACTTTGGCAGGATGTAATGCAAAATCAGAGGCGAATGGAAGATTAGCACTAGAAGATGATCGTTCTGGATCAGGCGATTTCGATCCTTTGGCTTCTGCTTTGGCAGCGTAATTGGCCCTTCTTCTATTCATGGTTGCAGATTAGGGCTCAGTACTGAATAATGCGATGAGGATGGGCCGTCCTGCCTCGCGACTATAAAAGGCGCTCATCTCGCTCACTTAGATTTTTTTTTTCTCTATCTCAACACCAACCTGTGTTAGGGGAAAAGCCCAGCGCCGTGTTGGAGCTAAATCTCGCAAGAGGTTGCTCTTTCACTGCTGTGGTGACGCCTCTAGCAGATCGGCGCTCGAGAAGCAAGTTTGATGGGCATCTCCCTTCCGGCATTTCTTCACCAGGACTCGTCCTGGCCATTCATGTTGTTTTGACGTGTTTAGTTGCAATTGGTCCTCCGAAAGGGGTTGAGCGATTGTGGTTAGATGCTAGATGTGAGTGGGGAATGTTGGTATAGTTGCCCAGTGCTCTTTGAGCCTTTGAACAGAGTAGCTCCGTCGACAGGTTGCAGAGTGAGGGGCCGGTCTTGAGCTCACTACAAGCGTTGTGCCTAGCATGATGTTTGTAGTTGCAGCTCGGCCACTATGGCTTCAGGCAACATATTCCTGGACTCTGCGGAGGCCATTTGGCTGCTGATCGTCTGAGTAAAACCATGTTGCACACATACGTAACACTTTTATATATTTTAGATTTTGTCTCAAGTCTCCAGCTGGAATTACAATTTCTGCTCTGGACGGGATTTCCTCTGCCGATGTCTTTCTGTTGGGGACCGCTTGTTGTTGGGTGAGGTATCGAGTTTTCGCCACATCTCCTGGGCTTCTCTAGTAGATTCCATTTTCATTGGTTTTACGAAGCTCAAATCACCCATATAGGAACGCTCGACGGCGTTTGTTTACTTGGCTGGTTGATTTTCTTGTCGGCTCGGTAGTTGTAATCCCTGCACACCACATACCTTAGTACATACCTTATCCCTCCTAAAGCACCCTTGCTACTTCTTCACTATTATGAGTGACGAGAAGGAATCAGAGCGTTATTCGCTACCCCGTACCTTCTCGAAAAACAATTCTCGTGAATTCAACTCCAGAATCGGCGTTGGAGAGCTTCCGGCACTTCCTACCCTAGACACTGAGGATAAGAATGACCCTCCTGAGCTAGCTACCTACGGCCCCCCAAAGACTCCTCAATCACAATTTGTTGAATTCAACCTCAGTAGCGGACTGCCTGAACCGCAAATCATCAGCAGCGATGACGTTACAAAAGGTCATGCTCATACCAAGTCGAATGCTACTGTTGAACTAAGCGAGAAGGAGGACGAGGATGAGAAACCAAAACCAGAAGAAGACTTCTTCAGTTCCAATTCAGACGGGTGGAAATCGATGAAGAAAGTTGCAAAGCAAGATTATTACGATGAACGGGGAAATCTTGAATTCACCAAGGATAACGAATTCGAGCTGCTTGAACATAGAAATGCTGGAGGATACACCAAGATTGATACCGAGGAACAACTTAACAAATACGCTAGGCTTGATGCCAAGACGAATTTCTTGTTCGAACTTCTGGGGCTGCATGAGCCAAAGAATGCTGAAGATTCGGACGATGAGACATTTGACAACGGGGATGATGGGATCGATTCTAAAGAGACCCTTGCTGGTACAAGAGGTCTTTTAACTGAATCCCAGAAATTTGCGTACATTGTTATGGTGAAGCTTATCACCGTTGACCAAGCAGCTGCTTTGGCAAAGCTCAATCAGAGAACAACTTTCAGGATGTCGAAGCCAATGGGGCTTGCTCAAAAGAACTTCGCAAACTGGACCAAGTACATTATGTCCAAGTTGGAGGATCATTTGGATATCACGAAGCAAGAAAAGAGCATGATAGATAATTTGAGCGCTCATGGTGTGCAAGTTGAAGACCTCTCGCAAAGCTTGTTGATGCTTGAGACCCAAAAACCCATTGTCAACCAATTATCGAAAGATTTCGACTTACGCTGGGTGCTTGTCTGTGATTTGTTTTTGTTGCTTTTGAGTGACGGCTATTTCGATAGCAGATCCCGGACATTGTTCATTGCATTTGCCAATTACTTGGGCATACTTAACATCGAAGTGTACCAATTCGAGAGACGACTCATTGAGAGTTTGGAAATGGACACAGGTCAGAAGAGTATCGAAAACAGAGATGACAAATTGAGCGACAGGCTGTTTATCGAGAAACACATCCAGAAAAACAAGAGGAAGAGATTGGCGTACATTGGTATGGCTACCATCGGAGGCTCCCTTGCGATCGGTTTATCTGCTGGCTTATTGGCTCCTTTGATTGGAGCTGGTTTAGCAGCTGGTTTGACTACTGTGGGTATTGGAGGTACAAGTGGATTTCTCGCTGGTGTAGGTGGCAGTGCCATTATCACCACCGGTGGTGTTGCTGCCGGCGCCAAGATGGGATCCAAAGCAGGTGCAAGAAGAACAGGCGATGTTCAGACATTTGAGTTAAAACCTCTACACAACAATAAGAGGACCAATCTTATTGTGACAGTCAGTGGCTGGATGAACGGTGATCTAGATGATGTCCGTCTTCCCTTTTCCACAGTTGATCCAGTCATGGGCGATATGTTTTCCTTGCTTTGGGAACCAGAGATGTTGAGATCCATGGGTCAGACAATTGGTATTTTGGCTACAGAAGCTTTGAGTACATCTATTCAACAGATCCTTGGTGCCACAATCCTTTCGGCGTTGATGTCCGCCATTCAACTCCCAATGGTCCTTTCGAAGCTTTCCTATTTGCTTGATAACCCATGGAA